TTTTTTCTCCTGCTACAGACAGACTAACAGGGCCACCCATCTGGATCTCTCTCTTAAAGCAAGATTGGGTTGATTTAGAGCATTGCCTCCTGGAAGCCACTTTAAGTTAGCCAGACAGAACGGAGGTCAAACCCGCTCGTAATAGGAGGTGGGAAGTGTTAAAGGTGCTCTTGGATGCCAGCAGACCCCTCTCTTCCTTTCAGAGCAACCCCAGCGATGAAAGCCTGTTCATCCAGAGTCCCTCTCAAGCAGCCTGGATTAAGTGGTTCAGGTTCCTTCCGTGTGGACCATCCTGCTTCCCAAACTGCTGTGACACTGGTGGTGGTGGGGGGAGCTTCTGCGCAGTACTGTCCCCAGGTTGGCTGCAGGTGTTCCCCCGCCTGCTTTGGGATACATTTTTTCTTGAAAGGAAAGCAGGACAGAGAAAAATGCGGAGGGGATGCGCTCACTCCCTTCCCACCCCGTCTCCCGTGACTCTCTGCTGCACAGAAACCACACTGAGATTAAAAGGGGGGAAAGCAAAGGAGAGGGAGGGCAGGAGGGAGAACCGCCCTGCGCCGCCAGCCCGGGGGCGACTTCCAAGATTTAACCCACTCTTCGTCTGGCCCAAACAAACGGGGCAGCCGAAGGAGACGAGGCCCGCCCGCCCCTCCGTGAAGAAAAACCCCGGAGGGTGGCCGCGCCGGGCTGCAGCTGGTCTGACCGGCCGCCCGATCCCGCGTCTAACCCTTCTGAAGCCCCTCCCCCCCAATTCGGAGCCACTCCGGATCCAGACAGCGAAGGTCACGCGGAGGAGATTCTCCCACCCCACCCCCGCCACACCGGGGAGCCGCCCCGAGCGGCCCCGCCGCCCGCCTTTCCGGCTCTCCCTCACCGAGCCCGGCCCCGAGGCGCCCCAGCAACCAGGTCTTGCGCGGGCAGTTAGTGCCCTCCGGGATGTCCCAGTAGCCGGACATGGTAGCGGCGGCGGTGGTGGCAGCAGCGGCTCCGAAAACACCGCGAGACTCGGCCAGCCCCGCGAGAGCGAGGCGGGGCCCCGGCTGGACACTGGCCAATCGGCGCCCGGGAAGGCCCCGAGGGGGGCGGGCGGTGGGCGTGGCCGGAAGGGCAGCCTGCTCGGAGGATGTCTTCGTCGCCCGCCGCCCCGTGCGCGCCCCCGACGCCCGTCCAGATCCGCGAGGCCAACGCCCACCTGGCGGCGCTACACGGGCGCGTGGCCGAGCTGGAGCGACGCTTGGCGGCGGCGGAGCAGACGGTGCGCGGCCAGGCCGAGAGCCTCATCCGCAAGGACCAGGAGACGCGCGGCGCCCTGCAGAGGCTGCGGGAGGACAAGGACAGGTCGGGGCCGGGGCGAGGGCGGCGGAGCAGACGGTGCGCGGCCAGGCCGAGAGCCTCATCCGCAAGGACCAGGAGACGCGCGGCGCCCTGCAGAGGCTGCGGGAGGACAAGGACAGGTCGGGGCCGGGGCGAGGGGGCACGGTGGTGGTCGGGGCATTCTTTCCGGGAGGGAGCCTTGCCGTAGGCATGCCAGACCCCAGGAGGGAATCATCCTCGGGCTGCAGAGGTCAGCTCCCCCCCCATAGGGAATGGGTGCTTCGGGGCGGGTGGTTTTACCCCCTCCGAGGTCCCTGCCCACCCCGGGCTCCAGCCCCCAAATCTCCACCGGTTTCCCAACCAGAGTCTGGCAAACCTTTCCCCCGCCGGTGGCCTGCGCGGGACCTGGGAGGCCTGAAGGGTGGTGGGCAGGGAACCCGATCCTCCCCCCCCCCCCCCCCCCCTCAACACCTTGTCCGTGCCCCTTGAACTGCCCTATCTCCCCCCTGAAATCAAAACTCGTATGACTTTAGTTTTCGAGAACTTGAATCTGAGTCAATGACAACTAGGAACTGAAGACCTTTAAAAAAAAACAACCACCAGGTAGTTTTACCGAGACATTAAAAACAGATTTTTTAAAAAAGGTGGTTCGCTGTGTTGATCTTGAAGCAACAGAAAAAAAAGTTTGAGTCTAGGGGCACCTTTAAGTCCAACAAAGTTTAATTCTTGATATAAGCTTTTGTGTGAACATACAGGAAAGCTTATGCCCAGAATTAAACTTTGTTGGTCTTTAAGGTGCCCCTAGACTCAAACGTCTTGCAGTGTGTGTGTGTTTTCTCTTCTGAGTACTAGTGCCTTAAACCAGATGTCTTAATTACTCAGCTCAGGATTAGGATCTCAATCATTCATTCTCACATTCATACACACACACACACACACACACATATATATATTCATCCTTGAGGATCAGAAGACTGACTCTTGAAAAATGCAGTAAAAAGTTTTTGGGTCTCAGAATTTATTTTCAAAATGAAGACATTATTTTTTTTAGAAAAACAAATCAATCCCTCAAAAATACCTTTGAATAAATCTTTTCCTCGTGGTTGGCAACTTGCTATAGATCTGTTTTTCACACGTGGATGGGCTGGTGTAGTTTCCCTCTTTCTACTGTGGCAGCCATGGGGCTTCCACATGGTATCTTTCCAGGTCTGTAGCTACGGCGGGGCATTTTGGGGGCCTGCTCCTTTAATTGAAAGCCAGACCCCACAAATAGCAATGCCAGAAACTTTTTTTTTTTAAGGTTACTGCCTCCTCCCTGGGCTGCTGTTCTTTTGGGTCCACCCTGCACCATCACAGAGCCTTCTCATGGAACTCTCTCGGGGTTGGGTTTTGCTCTTGCGCTGCTCAAAGGAGAGACACCCCCCAACCACCCCCGCTGCCTGCTGGTGGGGGTGGCCAGGGCAAGAGCAGGTTGGTTTGCCCTCAGGCGTCTTTCCTTCTCCACCCAATTAGCCTCCCTGGGAGAATTAGTGTCGCTTCAGTGGCTGCCCAGTCACCTGCCAAGCGGGGTCTGCCTGGCCAAGCCTGTAGCTACAGTGGGGCATTTTGGGGGCCCGCCCCCTTAATTGAAAGCTATGCCTCTTTTTAAAAAAGGTTACTGCCTCCTCCCTGAGCTGCTGCTCTTTTGCGCAGTCGCAGAGCCTCCGTGGCATTCTCATGGAGCCGCTTCAGGGCTGGGTTTTGCTCTTGCTCTACTCAGGGGAGATACCCCCCCCCCCCCGGCTGCCTGCTGCTGGCGGTGGCCAGGGCAAGAGTATGGCGGCTTGCCCTCCGGCTTCCTCCTCCTCCTGATTAGTCCAGTTGCCTGCCAAGGAGGTACTGCCTGCACTTGTACCCTGAGAGAAAGAACTTCTCCCAGGCCTTTTGCAACTTCCCAGGTAAACCCTCCTGGGCTTTTTCACAATGTGCCGGACAGGGGGAGTCATGCAGCTCCATGGGACCCCCAGTTCCAAGGCTGCCATGCTTTAGTCACCAATGGAGCGGATCCGAAACTGCAAGAAGAGCAGGTGAGTGCATCCAGGTGCGGGGCACATTGCAGCGACAGCTTCACGGGTTGAAAGCCGGACCGCCAGCTCAGCTGATTCTAAGGCTGCTGTTGATTGAAACGGGGCGGATTGGGAGAGTAAACGGGCGCTGCTCCCCCTTGCTTAGGTCATCAGTGCTCTGAGCAGCAGGCTAAGCCAGTAAGTTAAATTCTTCAGATTTTTGTGATGCGGCTTTCCTGTCACGTGAATGTTACACTTGGGAGCAGAGCTGAGGCCGTAGTGGCTCCGTCAGCCTTGTGTGCTGTGGTGACCTGGCAATTGTGAGAACGACCCTGCTCCCAGGGAGGCCTTCTCCAACTTTCACAGCATTCACACAGTTATACCCAGGTCACTATGCCGCTGGGCCCACTTGTGGTGCCGTCCCGTCCGTAGGCTTGCTTCTGAGACTCGCTGGCAGGGCTGAATTCCCCTTCACGGCCCTCCCTCTCCTTTCCCTCCCCAGGGAGATTGCTGTGCTGGAGGGGAAGCTGCTCTCCTCGGAGGAAGCCGCGCAGGAGCTCCGGGGGCTGCTCCAAGAGAAAGAAGCCGTGATCGCCCAGCTGAACCACCGGAGTCACCTGCTGACCAAGATCTGCCGCAGCCGGCCCGTCCTGGACAACGTTTTGGCGTACATGGCCGAAGGGGAGCGGCTGAGCCCCGTGCCCGGAAGCCAGGGCAGCTCTCCGGATTGTGGCCTCTTCCTAGAGGCAAACTGTGCCCTCGGCTTAGACTCGAAGGACTTTTCTCTGTGTGACGATGACGTGGAGTCAGGCAAGAGCTTGTTTGGGACAACAGTGTGAACAAGACCAGCCACGGTTACCTTCTCCTGGGAACCCCCTCCCCCCCCCCCCCCCCCCGGGATGCACAAGCCCCTTCTGTGGGATTCGAAAAGAATGCCTTGACACCCGGGAACTCTGCCTCAACTGGATCTTGCACCCACCCGCAGGAAGCCCTTCAGCCCGGAAATGTTCTTTTTGGTATGCTTGCGGATGATCAGTGCCCTTGATCCCTGACCCCCTCTCTAGCTAGGACTGGGGGCCAGAGTGGCCTGTCCGAGAAGCAGCACACCAGCCGAGGGGGCAGGCCCGTCCACCCCGTCAGCTTCATTCCCGTCTGCTGTGGGGCGGTTCCCTCTTGGTGCATCTGCCAGCTCCCTGTCATTCTCAGCAGAGGTCCCCGGTGGGATGGATGGGTCACTCGGGGTTTGCACTCCCATCAGAGAGAGAGATATATATATATATATTATATCGGTGGGATGGATGGGTCACTCGGGGTTTGCACTCCCATCAGAGAGAGAGATATATATATATCCCCCCCCGTTTTTTGTGGTGGGGGTGAACAGTGCTTCACTCAGGCCAGGGAAGGAAACGCAGCAACCTCTGTCTTTGTCCCATTGCCCGTCTGCCCTTCAACTTGTCTCACGCTTCCTTCGTTAGTTTTGGTGTCGGCCAGAACCTTGGAATGATGTCACACACACACACACCCCCGGAGGCAGCAGCAGAACTGATGCTGATTGTAGCCATCTTGAGTGTTTTTAATGGGGCGAATTCTCCTTAGTTTGATAAAACTCATAATAGGAAGCAAGGCATTTATATAAGTACTGATGGAATTTTCTAATCACCCAAACTTGTACACTATAAAAGACGCCACGCTTTGTTCTCCCCTTAACTGCCTTCCGCCCCCTAAAATGTCTGTGCCCCAAAGCCGAGACAGCCGAGGCTGGTTTGCAGACAAGAGCCAGCGGCCTTGACGTCATTTGCAGAGCAGGCTGGGGGCCCTTCAGTGTCCAGGGTTCCTTGCAGGGCAATTCTCTTAGCCAGAGCAGGCAGAGTAAGGCAAAAGTCCTGTGCTACCTTAAGGACTTAGCACATTTCTTCTGGTAGGAGGTTTTGTGAGGCTGGCTCAGCTGCTCTTCTGGTGCAGTAGCAGCGTAGGGCCTCGTGGGGCCCCATTTCCAAGCCCTAAATGGGGGTAATGCAAACTAAGAGCATGCCACATGACCCAGTGTTCCCTCTAAGCTGAGTTAGTGTGAGCTAGCTCACAGTTTTTTTAGCCTCCGGCTCACACGTTTGTTTTAGCTCAGGAAGGATGGCTCCAGAGCAAACTAATTTATGTAGTAGCCAAATCACTTGCTCACAGCTTTAATGCCAGCAGCCCACAAAGTAGAATTTTTGCTCATAAGACTCCAAGGCTTAGAGGGCGCATTGGCCACATCCAGGGATGGTGTATAGCAGAGGTCCTAGACACGGTGCCCACGCATGCCAGGGCATCCACCGACATCTTTTCGAAAGTGGGCAGGGCCAGGTGGGATAGTTGCCCGGCAATGCTTCTGATTGCCCACTGAGGATTTGATTGGCTGTGCAGGTTTTCTAAAATGTTGCTTGGGCAACGGCTGCCATGACAGCACACCGTTTTGTGGCTGGCTCCGCCTCCTGTGGTGGCCATTTTGGGGTTGCACTCACCACACTGTGTGGGAGCGCCCACAGGCTCAGAAAGGTCGGGGACACCTGCTGTATAGAATCTCACATGTCTACACCATTGTAAAGAGGTTCTGACGCCACTGCTAAGCGTCGGCATTCACCTCCTGGTCCTGGGTGCCTGGCTCTTCCGCCGTTGGTTGTCTTGGACTTCCGAAGAATCCCCCTCCTTGCATCATGCTCTCTTCCCAAGCTTGTTTTGCGGCAGCTCTTCCTATTCTCCAGCCATGTATGGTCACCAGACTGATCGAAGTAGACGGGTTGTGATCCCAAGTGCCTTTCCCGTAAGCCGGCCCCATTGTATCAGATGGGACAGACTCCCTTGTCAGCACCTTCAGGATTGGGCCATTTCCACGGAATGGCTGTTCTCATAGTGACAGGCTAAGCCGGTTCCTCCCCTGCCTCTTCTGGCCTACAGAAGCAGCCACAAGTGCCTGCATCCCGCTTGGATTTTGTTACACGGTGTCCTTGGTCTAACTTTTCCTTGGTGGATGCAAAATAAACGTATTTTGGAATATCTGCCTTTTGGTCTGCCATTATTGTTCCTTCTCCCCCAACCCTGCCTGGCTTAGATCTCCCTGGGTCCGGTTGGTCTCTTATTTTGAGAGAGCTGACTTACAGCCCAAGTGCCAGGATGGGACCTGGGTATCAAGCACCCTTTGCGGCACACAGAAAACCCGAGGCTCAGTCTCTCGCTCAGGGGCTCCAGGGGAGTGGGGTTGCAATGGAGAGCAAAACGGGGTTTACGTCAAGTAGCTTCCTGTGCAGGTCCAGGCCAGCTCAGAGGAGGAAAGTCCAGGTTACATTGTAAGGAGCACTCTTCTCCCAGAGACCTTTTCCACCTGGTGCATTACTTGATCGGGGTGGGGTGTGTGTGTGCTCCATCCCGTCAGTCTCCTTTGCCAACACAGGAGCTCAGCACTAGAGGAAATGTTTCAGAGGGAAGGGACGTGTCCCTGCTAGGGGTGTGCAAAAAAAAAAAAAGCTGGTATTTTTTTAGTTCGGGTAAATCAGACCTGAAAAATATCGGTAAATGCCGAATTTCCCCAGTAAAATATCAGTGAGGTATTCGGACTGGGGCTATATTCGGTTCCGATTTACACCACCCAAGGGAAAGGAGACATGTTAGAATGCCTTCTTTCCCTCTGGTAGACCCTACAGATTTCCCTGTCAATTTCACTCCCTGCCAGCTAAAAGATTGGGAAGGGAAGCAGGCATGTTTACAATGCCTTTCTTTCCATCCCCGATATCGGAGAGGGAAAGAAAGGCATTTAAACCCAACAGCTGATTGGCGGCTGAGCCAGCTGTTAGGTTTAATGAGACCTTTTTCATATAGCAAAATGAACCTTATGTGATAACCGAAATATACCGACAAGGTATTTTTCGGGTATTTCTTCGGTTCGGCCATAGCCGAATGCACACCCCTAGTTGCATGTTGTGGGAGGCAGGACAGTGTGTCGGGGAGGAAGTTAGACTTTCTGGGGAGATGCTGGAGAGTGAATCGAAACCGGAGCTGTTTGGCGTTAAGGTGCCAGGGAAAGCTTCAAGGTTTTTATGATCGGGGGGGGGGGTTTCCGTCTGCCTCCTCTTCCTCAAACACCTGGGCCAAGTCCCTGTAGTCCATGGGGATTGAGTCGAGCTCCCCCTGAGCTAAGCACACTCGTTCCAGGACTGAAGGGGGCATCTCCCCCCACTCCAGCTTCCACCCATGGCCATCGCATCGGGGATTGGGAAAATGCAACACGCTGGCACTCCACTGCACATAGGGGTCATGGTCTCGCAGCTAGGGGTTCCCCAGAACCATTGGAAAGCCTGGCTGTCAGATTAATTATGAACCAATCCACTGCCTGTTTTCTCAGATGCGAACCAATGTAATCCACTCGGTGTTCTTCCAAGGTGAACGTGGGGCCCCAGTCCTGCAGGAACTTGTGCACTTGTAACAAGAAGGTAGGCTTGTCTGGTTTACCATCAAAAGTGGTGTCCAATAGCTCGCGGTGTTGCTCTGGCTCCGATGGCAGCATGGCTGGAGCAGGGGGCCCAGCTGGGACGACAGGAGGTGCTTTGCCCCAGAGGTGCTTGCCCTGGAGGTGCCTGCCCCAGCGGCGGTGGGGCAGGTGCTAGCTGCTGCCACCCCAGGTCTGGCCTCCCCCTGCCATCCGGGACCTGGCCTCGAAGCTTATGTTGGACAGCCATGGCGATGAGTCTTGGTAAATCCAGCATCATTTCATGCAGCTCACGCCTCAGCTCTTTGGTTTCCCCACGGAACTCTCGCACCCGTTTTATGTCCACTTCCTCAGCAATGGGGATGCGGCCCGGGACTTCTCGGAAGATGCTCCTGTAATGCTGTGGGTTCCTCTCGTACGTCACCATTCAGGGGTCAGGAGTTAGTGCCCAGCTCACTTCCGTCCATGTGGGGATATGGGCCCACAGGTCTTTGTTCCATAGTTTTCATTTCTGTGCCATCTCTGGTGGTAACCGGGGTGTCCTCGTTCTCTTTGCCAGCCATCGGTGTGAGGTACGGGAACTACAGGGAGTTCTAACACTCTGTCAGACTCCTGGAGAAATCAGTTCCCAACAACAGTTTTTCAAAAGAATAGAAAGTTTATTGAGACATTGATAGGATCCCGACTCTTAACATTTCTGTGTTAAAACTGGGGGAAAGTGCGTGAAGCGGTGCGTGGGAGCGGTGGCGCAGGCAGTTAATGCCTGCAAGTAACAGCACTAGCGAACAGCCACTATGGCTGTTCGAGACCACCGCGGCCGGGGTGAGCTCCTGGCCCTAGTCCCAGCTCCCGCCCACCCAGCGGCTTGAAAGTGTCTCACGAGTAGACAAATGGGTACTTGCCATAGGTGGCAGGGGGCACCCACCTCCTGACGGGGTATGCCAGGAGTGCGGCTGTGGCAGAGGCGGCGGCGGGGGAGTTATGGCGGCAGCAGAGACGGGCTGAGGACGTGGCGACGATGGTTGGAGGCGGAGCTGTGATGACGCGACGACGATGCAAGGACGCAGCACAGTGGAGCCTGACGGACGTTAGCCGAGCTGCAGTCAGAGCACCCACGCACCAAACAGAATACCAGCTGAAGCCTGCCGAGGATGCCGTCGGCCCACCCGAAGCGCCGGAACTAACATCAGAAACCGCCCGGAGAAAAAGCAACAGCAACAAAAACGCATGCCGCTGGGTGCTGGTAGGCAGCCCCCCCCAAAAAAAATGAATTGTGGCCCTAGATTAGGTATAATCGGTACATATCCTCTGTAAACCGCTCTGCGACCCTCCGGGGCCAAGGGCGGTATAGAAATCGAAACTATAAATAAATATATAAATAAATAAACTATAAATTCTATCTAAATCAAGCAAGACCCTAATGTTCCGGGGCCAATAACACCTAAGCTACAGGCCCGCCGAAATAACGGCTCATAGTTCCCAGGGGAAAGATGATGCCATGCCTGACTGGGACTCAAGATTACGTGTCTGGGTCGAATAAGATAACGAAGCAACAGCAGAGTGGCCAAAAGCTAAAGTAGACATTCTTCCCACTCCCCTACATCACCATGGCAACCAAGCCCGAGAAAGCAGGTGAAGTTGACAGTTCCACTGAGGAAGCGCTCTGTCAGGAAGTTCTTCCTAATGTTTAGCCGAAAGCTCTTTTGATTTAATTTCAACCCGTTGGTTCTGGGGCGACCTTCTAGGGCAACAGAAAACAGCTCTGCTCCATCCTCTATGTGGCAGCCATTCAAGTACTTGAAGATGGTTATCATATCCCCACTCAGCCATCTCCTCTCAGGGCTAAACATACCCAGCTTCTTCAGCCTTTCTTCATACTATTACTATTAGCTTCTTTCTAATGGGAAAAGCATCTGGGGCTTGAGCTGCTGACTGATAAATGCTGCTACAGGTGAGATGCCTGGAGTGACTGCCTTTCTTCAAGGGTCCCACCCATGTGCTGGAGATTAAGTTCATAAATGACTTCAGCAGGCTCATCATGTGGTGTTATCCAGGTTATCTCCTCAGGAAAATATAGAGATGGAAGAATCTTGCTCTGTCTGCAGACACTGATTTGAGTATTACACGGTAGTGAAGCCTCACAGTAAAGGTGTAGATCACCCTGTGAGCTAGGTGTCAAGTCCTGGACACAATTACTCCCACAAACACTCTTGTAACAGCAAGATTTGTTTATTAGGAGACAGAGAGGTTCCAAGCATGGACAGCTTATGTGTCAGAACTGGGTTCCAGATGCCAGTCCCCCCAATATAGTAAAAGCAGGAAAACCCACATATGCCAAATGACCAATCACTTCTGTTATTCAGCCCACCACACATCTGCCTTTGCCCCTACGACCGCCCCTAACGCCTGCAAGCTAACGGTTATTCTATCTAGAAGCTCTGCAACTACAAGGTCACACCGAACAGTGAATTCATACGCATCCCAAGATGTTTACAGCACACTCAGGAGGCTCCTGCGTGAGAACAGTTAAGAGGTAATGTCACACTCTGTCTCTAGTTTGCCATGATTCGTAAGGGGAGGGAAATTCCTGAGGGAAGTGAATGGCTGAGTTTGTGAACTGCTCTATCATAGGCAACATAACTCTTCTCAAGATACCTCCCTTCACAAGGGATGACCTTGAAGCCAAAGCTATGTCTGCTTGGCTGTCTTAGATAAGGGATCCATGTATTCACAGGTGGGGGTGTGTGTAGGAAGTGTGAACGTTTATGGAGTGTGATTGGATGTACTGGAGGGGGGGGGGCTTCATTTTATCTGTCTATAACTTTGGATTCTCCCGCCAGAACCCCAGTTCTGACACAGTACTGGTCTGGCCTGGAACATGATTATTTCTCAATGAACAAATCACTGCCAGAGAGTGTTGTTGAGAGTAACTTTGTTGAGGAGTCTGACAGGTAGCACTAACCAAGCAAAGCAGACAGCCATACACAGTCACTCCCCCCAGTTCCCAGCAGAGAAGATAAACAGGAATGGAAAGGAACAAGGTTACATCAGAACTGTAGAAATACATGTGACTCCATATGGAAATACATGGCAAGCGAGGCCCGAGCTTGACAGTAGGTTAGGCTGAGAGAGTAACTGGCCCAAGGTCACCAGCAATCTTCCATGGCAGAGTGGAGACTCAGTCTGACAACTGGCTGTCGGTGGGAAAGAAGGCCTGGACCTGAGTTGAGTTTAAAGGTAAAGGTTCCCTTGCTCGAAAGCCAGTCGAGTCCGACTCTAGGGTTGCGGTGCTCATCTCCGTTTCAAAGCCGAAGAGCCAGCGCTGCCCAAAGACGTTACCGTGGTCATGTGGCCAGCATGACTAAACACCAAGGCGCACGGAACGCTATTACCTTCCCACTGAAGTGGTACCTATTTATCTACTTGCAATTTCTTGCTTTCGAACTGCTAGGTTGCCAGGAGCTGGAACTAGAGACGGGAGCTCACTCCGTCATGCAGCAACTCGGGTCTTGAACTGCTGAACTACTGACCTTCCACAGCCTAGAGTTCAGTGTCTTAACCACTTTGAGCCACAAGAGCCCAAATGAATAAAACAGGTCAAATGGGCTGAAGGATAGATCCCCCCCTTCCCATTTACAGTAAGCCCCAATTGCTGCCCAGAGGGAAGTGGCAAGACGTGCCTAACCAGCCAGGCACAGGGAAAACCAGCACCAAAAATGGGCAACCACAACAGCCACATATAGGGTTGCCAACCTCTAGGTGGGAGCTGGAGATCTCCTGGGGTTACAGCTGATCTCCAGGCAATGGAGATCAGTTCACCCAAAGGAAATGGCTGCTTTGGCGGATGGACGCTGTGGCATCCTCACATGTCCCTGCTAAGCTTCCTGCCCTTCTGAGGCTCCATGTCCCAAATCTCCAGCAATTTCCTCACCCAACCCAGATTTCAATTCACTGCTCTTGTAGAAAATCTCTCGTCTTCAGTGTGGGGATGACATTGTGCAGTTTGGTGTAGTGGTTAAGTGTACGGACTCTAATCTGGGAGAACCGGGTTTGATTCCCCACGCCTCCACTTGCAGCTGCTGGATGGCCTTGGGCAAGCCGTAGTTCTGTCAGAGCTGTTCTCTCAAGGACAGTTCTGGAAAGAGCTCTCTCAGCCCCACCTACCTCACAGGGTGTCTGTTGTGGGGAGGGGAAGGGAAAGGAGTTTGTAAGCCACTCTGAGACTCCAAGTGAAGGGCGGGGTATAAATCCAACCTCCTCCTCCTCCTCCTCTTCCTGGTTTAGCCTCTGCCCCTCGAGTCTTCACTATACTTATCTAGGGTTGCCAAGCTTGTTTCCAAGATACAATCGCACAGGCTGGGGAGCCACTGGAGCATTGTTGTGAGAGACAGAGAGTTTCATGCCCTCAGCTCGTAAGGGTAGAGCCATTCCCTCCCCTTCTCCTCTGGGTTAAGGTCAATAAAACAGGACATTCTGTCCCGAAGAAACTATTGGCCTCTGCTCAGGATGGCCTGGAAATGGGAAACCCTACATTTCACAGCCCTCCTGAAGCAGGCAGCTGACTGTTCCGGGCATCCCCCACCCTTTGCAGTCGTGCTCGTGTCACATCTTGCTCTGACCGCATTGGCTTCTCTCGGGATCTTTCCAGTCCTAGCAACTGGGGAACCATTGCTATAGAGATCGCGCTGAGCTCCTCCAACACAACAGAAGAGCTGGAGTTGCGGTTTGAACAGAGCATAATTCCAGGTAGGGGCAAACGGGGGAGCCCACAGAATCTGGCAGCAGTAGGCGGGCGGGTGGGCGCTGGGCATAAAAACTGCCAGGGGTTGGGCCGGGGAAAAAAAAGTGGGGGAGGGAGGCCTGTAAAAAGGGGGGGGGACAGCGCCCATGGAGACGTACCACCCTTTTCTCCATCCTTTGGGCAACACCTCTGAAAATCCAAAGTGGACCCTGACAAATAGAGATGTCCACATTGCTCCGCTCTGCTCTTGCAACTCAAGAAAGCCCCACTTTGGTTTTGCTTCTCTGTTGTTCATTTGTTTCCTGGCACCAGCCCACCCCCCACCCCCCGTCCATTTATCAGCCTGCCAGCCACATACGTTTTTAACCTGCCCTTCTTCCAAGGATCTCAGAGCAGCCAATGTGGTTCTCCCTTCTCTCTTATCCTCATGGAGAGGGGGCTAGACGGAGAGGGAGTAACAGGCAAGTTTTCTGATGGGAGGGGGGGAGGAGTTCCACATACCGATTTTCATAACCCATTACATTAGCAGTCAATCAGCATTATATGAAATATGCTGGACAAGCAAAAATACTGGGGAAGTGGTTCAGTTGACACAGATAGTACATGGATATGACAATAAACAGACATTCGCTGTTTTCAGAAGGGTCCCCCACCTTGGTTATACCAGATGCAGGAAATGCGCTCCACTCAAGAATTCATCCCAGTATTTCAATTATTATGACTACACTCTGTCCATGAGCAGGAACCCAGCTGCAAACTCATAGCTGGCAGAAAGTAGGGGATTGAAGGAAGAAGCCCTCAAGCTCATGCTTATGCTAACGACTGGGTGAATCAAGACAATGGTTTACCTACTGGAAGGTGACATCCAAAGGGACAGGGAGGGAAACAGACACATTGCGAGAATGTGTTCTCTTCCTCTTGAAGCAGGGAGATCAAAATGTCCCCAGCATGGAAGAGACTTCCCAAGGTAGATTATAAAACCCTGGACAAAAAGAAGCGCTCTCTTGCATCTTGCTCTTGACTTGAGAACATAAGCCATGAAAGACTGAACTTTTACTTTAGGGACTCCATCTTCATCTCGTCCACACAGCAGGGGACAACAGGAAGAAGTCCCAACCCAGAGAACTAAGGTAATGCTGAACTTTGAACTACTGCAACTTCAAGCAGAACTAGCCTGTCCTATTTAAACGTCATTTAGGAGAAGTACCCCAGTGTGGGGATTGGGGACTGCATGTTTTCACCCTTTCTTTGTACTCCTGCCCAGCCTGGATGCTTGACCAGACCATGTGTATTTTATTAAATTTTCTTTCTGTGTGTATTTTTGTGTATGTCTGTGCCCAGAAGCCATGGTTGAATTCTGGCAACCCCTAATGGGGCTTGGACATTTCAGAGAGGTGGCCTTGCCTCCGCATCCCGGCCCTGATATTCCTTGGAGGTCTCCCATCCAAGTACTTGCCAGGGTCGGCCCTGCTTAGCTTCTGAGATCTGACGCGATCCGGCTTCCCTGGGCTGTCCACGTCAGGGCAAATATCTTCTGTTTCAAATGCCGTAAGCTGCAGGTGATGCTGAGCCCTGCCTAATAGAGAAGAAATGGCCCGGTTTGAAGTGTGGGCATCCTTTCGGGCAAGTGAAGACTGAAAGGGCACAAAATCAATCCCAGTTTTACTCTCCTTTTTCAGGGTCAAGGACCACAACATGGAGGCAGGCACTAGAGCCATTGTGAAGCTCAGAACAAAGTGTCTGGAAAGAGGAGCGGCAGGAATGAAGGGTCTTGCCAGGTATAGGTTGAAGGAGGGGGATATTCCGAGGGGGAGGATTTCCAACTTGCTCTCCGTTCTTCCTGCTGCTGAGCTAATGGCTGATTCGCCGTGGTGTGTGTGAAATAAGCAAAAGGCCCATCTAGTTCAGAATTCATTCCCCCAAGATAACTTATCTTCAGGAAGCCCACAATTATGGCACGACAGCAAGCGCCCGCCACTGCTCTTTGTCCACCAAAGGTATGCTGCATCTGAACATGGAGACTTAATTTAGCCTTCATGTCTCATAACCTTCATGGGATTTCTCCTCTTTGGACTGTCCCCTTTTAGAGCCATCTAAACTAGTGGCCATCGCTACATCATGTGGCACTTAAGTCCCACAAGTTTACCCATTAATTTAAACTCTTTATGTATCTGCATTGAGTGGTTTTCCTTTTGTCTGTCCTGAGTCCTCTAGCCCACCCATTTCATTGGTTCTCCACCACTCAATATTCCAGGAGAGAGAGAGAAAAGGTCTCTCCACTGAGTTTCCCCACACCATGGTACTTACAGAGTTCTTCAATGTTCCTCACCAGCTGGTTGTCAAGAGGGGAAAATGCCCTATAAAACGTAAAGGTTTCCCTTGCTTGAAAGCCAGTTGAATCTGACTCTAGGGGGCGGTGCTCATCTCCGTTTCTAAGCCAAAGAGCCAGCGC